AACCATTCTGAACACAACGCAAAACACGTGCGCGCACGCAAACCATCGCAGCGCAGGGAAATCTATTAAGCGAATGCTTACACATTTTCTATTGTAATAAGTAGCGACCGATTAGAAGTAAGCGAAACACTTTTGGACACAATAAATGAATGGCCGTGGAAGCAAAACATTTGAAGGAAATGAACGGGAGCGGAAAAAAATGCAAAAAAACACCACAAAGACAGCCGCCCAAGCCACCCAAGCCGCCGCGAGTGGGGCCCGGGGGGAGGCCGCGGAGACTTGGCCACGCCGGCGAGATGGCTGCTTGCGCCCATTCGCGATTAAACCCAGCCTCGTGTACACACACAGAGCAGTGTGTATTACACACATCGAGCATGCACTCACATGGTAAACATAAACACGAGACGTAGAACCGTCGGGCGTAGCAGCGTGGCACAGGAGGCGCCCGCCACTGCCGCGGAGCTCGGCTACGCGGAGCCTCCCCGTCGTGTATAACGCCAGCCGTGTTTACACACTAACACCGCCGATATCCTACAAACACGCGTTACCTGTGTGTGTGTGAGAGACTATAAACATGCCCCCAGTATCACTATGTGCACGCACGTGATGCAGGCCGACTGGAGCAGAAACAGCTGCGGGGAGATGGAGGCGGTCGAGTGGGACGACTCCATCGGACAACAACAAAAGCCTCCCCCACGCCTCGCTCTAAACCACCACCGTGGACATTGCACAAACACGGTCTATAGACTGTTGATGCTCTTAGTATAGACTGTTGATGCTCTTAGTATAGACTGTTGATGCTCTTAGTATAGACTGTTGATGCTCTTAGTATAGGCTACTGATGCTCTTAGTATAGGCACGGGCAAAGATGGACGGACACACAAGAGCCGAAGCGAGACGCGGGAGAGGAAGCGGCCGCGGCGCGCGGCGCGGGGCCAAAACCTCTCGGCCGCGCACTCGCGACAAAAACCTTCCAGCAACAACCACCACCACTAACACCACCACTAACACCACCACCACGACGACGTCCACCACACGCGCACAGAGACACGCGCACGACGGTGGTAGTCGCGGTGTAAACGAGCGAGCGAGGCGGCCGCCCCGGGGCCGCGTCCCCTCCGCCGCCGCCGCCTCCATTTCCCGCACCACCGCCGCCTCGTTACCGCCGAGACGACGACGCTGCGCTCAACGATCACGACGCGTCCCGCTGATGTTATAGTCACTGTATTTGTAGTACATTTCCCATGTACTTGGCGTGTAATCTGTGCCGGGATGTTGCGAGGAGGGGATTTGCGAGAGCTGTGGGGGAGCTCCCCGGAGCCGCCGCGGCCCCGAAGGTCGCTGGAGGCGGAATGGCGGTCAGGAAACTCCGAGGCTCCCGCGCTGCGCCAGGCCGCGCGCCTCGCTACAATTAAAATTAAATTACAGCGAGAACATTCACGACAAACTCACGGGCATCTCTTCTCAAAGCCGCACCGACGACGACCATTCCACTCGGATGTGCGAATCGCATTCAACGACGCGGAACTGTAAAACAATTGGCGCGGCTGCGTTGTAAAAAACCACGCGCGGCAGCGTTAAAGCGACGTTCGCCTCCACTCCCTCTCTCCTCTCCGCCTTCTCGTTCACAATTTACCGAGATGCGATACGTGCGAAGCGATGGCTGCACGGGCGGACGCGCAGGCGAGCGAGCGGGCGGGCGGGCAAGGTGTGCGGGCGGGCGGGCGGACGGACGGGCGGGCGGACGGACGGGCGGGCGGGAGAGCGGACGGGAGGGGAGCGCGGGCGGGCGGGCGTTTCTATCGGGCGGGCTCACCGGGATGGCTGAGAGGCTGGGGCCGCCTGCCTGGCTGGGCTGGCCCGTCCCGTGTGTCACCCCGCCGCGTGCGCCCCCGCTCGCCGCCGAGAGCACCGCGCCGCGCAGCCGCCTCCAGCGCCGGGGACTCGGGAGCCAACGCGCGGGGTGGGCGCGGGAGGGGGGTTGCTCGTGGAAACGATTTCGATGCACAATTTCTCTACGAGTACATATGGTGGAGGGTCTCATCGTTTATTTCATCGGCATTTGGGACGTGTCGAAACAAACACCTTGCACGTTATTTTCGTGGCATTGTGTTGTTATTTTTGCTGTTGTGAACATTGCAATATCGGTGCACGCCGCCCCACTGAGCTACGCTACGAGGCTCCACGTGCGCTCGTGGCTGCGCCCTTTTATATGCGACGAGCGCGTGACGCGGCACCGCCGCTGACCAATCGAAGTGCGACGTTTGAACGCGACGGCGGCGCGCGCCGCGAGCCGTTGAGGTCGTGGTTAGAACAAAAAAGTGGCGACTTTCCCGCCAAAACAGAATTCTTCCTATTCTTAGGTTTTTTCGGTAAAGTCACGTCGGTAAAAACATTAGAAACAAAGGCTCAGCCTTTGTTATGCAGTCTATTCTTAGTCTTAAGCCTCACCTTGCCATATTAATAAAAGTATGCGGCCCTTGCCCCACCACCTTCTCCAACCATTATACAAAATAGCGATTTTCTGCTCAATTCAGAAATGAGGCCGTGCTCATCTGTTTATAGCCTTGAGTTCGTGGTGGGAATTCATCATTCCTATGGCAAGGTGGGTCTCTCCAAAGAGACCGCCGCTGTTGACTTCCCCACGAGGAGGGGCACTCATTTTATTGACCCCAGAGGGATGATGGGCTGAGTCAACCCCCAACCAGGATTTTAACTCGCAACCTTGCAGTTGCGAGCCACTTTATCTTACACTCATCCACCTGGCTGAATGCACTCTACTTGCAGCTACTATCCTGGTGATTAATATAATTCTCCATTATGCTTCATTTTCCTACAGCTCAAAACGGATATTACATGTCACCATTTAGCCTTTATTCCAAAATAATCTTAAATTCTACGGATGTCATTTCATATCTGTAACATTTAACACGCTGTCGATTTGGCCTTTGGTTTTCAATGCCAGCTATGACTTAAAAGCTTAGCGTTAGTTGTCAAATTCTACACCGTGAAATCAATTTAAACTTTGGAGAGTGCCGGTCTCCTTCCCGGTGTCCAGGATACTGTATGTATGTTGAACTTTTTTCGCGCTGTACATAGCCAACCATGCTAATCGGAGGAAAAACATGTAAGTGTGGCAGACTTAAGTTAATTCACGATATTGATATCCACTATTGTAATGGCCTGCGAAACAATATTATCTGCTTGACCAATACGCCAGCTGCAAAATCTCCCAGCTGTAAGATCGACCACTGCATCTGTTGCTGACCTATTTAAATCACGGCCCCTTTTTCATTTTCGTCTCTTCAATTGCCTCTCCATTATTCAATAGAAACTGTTATCACATAAATATGCAGGACCTACTTTCCATGTACAGTACACTATACAGAAGTGTAATGCATATTTTTGTAAATATAAACACAAAATTTAGACAGTGCAAAACATTCGACCATCATGCAGACATTTGGAAATAATGGGGGCACTCACACTTTACCCCACCACCACCTCCCATGATTTTGAGTGCACTTTATACATTTTCTGTGCTGTCTAAAAATATCTATAGTATTTTATATGCAAATTAATTTTCTAGACTGTACAAATTTTGGTATAGGGGACTGTTGTGTGTACGGTACAGTATTTATATATCCTTCACAAAGCCAAATATATAAAGAGAGACACCAATTGTAACACCACTCATGCTCTTGTCTCGCCAGCACTTTCATTTTTCCAACATTCTGGATGAATCCAGATTTACACTTGCTTCCACGTACGTTGAGAATATATATTTGGTTGTTGGTTGTTTAATTCCACTAAAATTGGGGGGGGGGGGGGGGGGGGAACGAACCACTAAGTAAAATCATCATCATCATATCTTCCACGAAGTGAGTGAACTGAGCTATATTGCATTCCATATATTTACTCAGATAAGACATTGCATTTATCCGTATGAATTCCCACAGCATCCATGATCAGTATGGGTTGATTGTCCAAAAATTATCACTGCAAGGCCATTCGGCTGCACACAATCACATCGCACTCCATGCCTTGAGTATTTACTTATGTTTACACTACATGATAATACCCTGTAAAATATTAAAAAGCTAATGTCCTTTGGGGATTTTCCTTTAACGTCTCTGCTTCCATGTGGAATACAAGATATCTATTCCACATTTAGCAGACCTCCGTGGCGTGCTAAGTATTTAATTTACATGTATTCATAAATGCAATGTGGCAGTGGAGATCTTGTCGTTGCTTTCTGCTGCTGGTAGAAGCTGGAGGGAGGAGGTGGCAAGACGCCTTGTAGAGCTGCAAATTGTGCCCGAGTAAATGTCGCGTGAGAAACGTCCTTGGGGCCTCACGAAGGCTGTGCAAAATCTGGGGCAAATGCAAAAGTCGTACAGAACTGACCAGGGGGGGTCCATTACAGAATGCTAATGGAAAAGGGAGACTGTGAATTAAGCAATATTCGGAAGGATAGTGATGATATCGTAAAATCAAAGCGTCGCCATGCTTATATTTTTGCTTATTGGTGCTCAAATCTATTGGCAATCCGGAGGCAGTTTTAGAAATTCCACATTGTCTGTGAATTGCCGAGTAGAAACAACCACTGTTGATTTGTCACCAAGCGGTGCAGCTTGAGTGGGGTCGGTTTGACTTCAGGGAGAAATTGGACGCGCGGTTTCATGCATAGACATGTAACTATTCACCCCGCAATTATTGTATGAACTTGAATAGTCACAATACATTATTTTTTCGTCGTGTTTTCACCGTCTAATTTTTTCAAAAGAATTTGTACTGTCATATTTAACAGTTTTCCTCTCTCCATTAGCCAGAGTTCACCTTTACCATAGCATTTGCATATATGTTGTGTACATGGTGGACAGTGGTCACACGCAATTAAATGCAACATCCCACACCACTCGCCACTCACCCCAGCCCCTCACTCTCATCTCTCCTAGCTTCACATGCCCCAGTAAACATGGCAATGCGTTACACAGCTACACAGTTACAAATGTTTAATTACACAGTGGCACAGGTACGTTCGGCAGGTAATGGCCACGCAGATGCTTCACAGTGCATTGCTGAGTGTTATTAATGTTCATAAACATGGACAAAGTAACCACAGTTGGCGATAATCCACAACTCAACTCGCAAGGTATAATTTAATTGATTAAATATTGTTACATTTTCCTCTTTAAATAATGAGTTTAACCATACAGTTTGGTAATAGATTAAAATTGTACTTGACATGGGGCATGACATTGCATTTTTTAAGGAATATTTTGTTGATACAATTGTGGAGTAACTAAAATAAAATGCTACGCGTGGTTTAATGACAGTATAGTGTCGGCAACATAAGTTGGGATTTACAAGCTGAACGTCAGTCTTTCCTGACGAACCCCGTATAATGGCACGGCGTCCTCCAAACATGGGGGCACCTCACTCAGTCTTCTCCTTCACAGCGTCCAGACGGCCCTTCTCCATGACAAGCTGTACCCCACAGTATGTGATGAACCACACCATGATGGTGGTGAAGGGAAAACCTACAAAACAGCATCAACAGGCCTTTGTCATTGATGAATGGATGGATGGAGATTCGTCACGTGAGACCTCTGACGCCGTTTATAAGGCCGCTGAAAGGTTTATGGAAGCCTGGGGCAGAATGCAAGATGAGGCCCCCTCAGATCTGAGGCTTTTCCATATCGGAAGCCTAGGGCAAACTGTCTCACCTACCATGCCCTCTCTCCCGCCATAGACACCTAGAAGGTTTTGTGCCTCCTGCCTACATTCTTCATTTAATCTGAGGTGAGTTATATAACATAACCCTGCAAGGCTGTAAGTGCAATAGGATGCCAATGCACAGAGTATGGCTCACACAAGAAAGGTGGTTGTGGTGGTCAACGCTGAGTGCAAGCAAGGAAGTATGTGACAGCGCTTAGCGCAAGGGGAAATTAATAGTGCGTATACGGGAATTTTGTGGCCACTCCACCCTTTAATTTTTTGTTTAATCTGATGTGTTTAAGGTTTGTAACGTGTATTGTCTGGGTTTGATGTCCAACGTTTCTCACCACCTGCTCGGATCTTTTTCTAGAATTTTATCGGAACTTGTAGAAGCCACCAGAACGTCGAGCAAAATGTTGGGCATCACACTTTACAACACGCGGTACAACCCGATTACACATCGGGTCGCTATAGAGTACAACCAGAACGACATGTAGTTGCGTCAAACGTGATTCTGTATAAGTATTCAAATTGCGTATGATTTTATTCAGTTCACTGTCAGAGATGCAGAGTGGTGGGGAAATGTTGTGCAGGTGCTGTGATGCTGCGGTGCGGCACTGCGTAGACTCTGACCGTAGAGCAGAATGCGGCAGGAGACGAGTTCAGCAAATTCGGTGCTGTTGAGAGCCAGCACGTTGTACAGGATGATGGTCCAGTAGTTGGCCGCCCCAAAAATGGCACGCACACGGCGAGACCACTCCAGCGTGAGCCGCTTGCCCTGGGGGGCGCAGCCACATGGGAACGCACGAACACACGCGCGGGTGTACACATAAATATTCCACAGGTTGATGTTGACGAGACTATGACTCACTGATTTTTTTTTAAAATTCCGTCTACATTAACACTTAACGGGAAGGGTTTTCGAAGCCTTGGCCATGTATATGATCAGGTCAACTCAACTGCAATTCATTACCGAGTGTTGGGTTAGGCCTCAAATGAACTGTCCACGTTTTATGTTGTGTAACCCTCCACCACCCGATATCATGAAAGATCTTTAGATACAAGGAAAACAATTCTGCCTTCCTGCACCCACAGCTCCAGGAGGTAATTCTGACTTCCTAGTTTTTTACCTAAAGGTGTTTGACACATTTGCAAGTGAAACGTCATCTAATCACTAGGTTTGCTTCTGTGAACTGTTCTTCAACTCACCGGTGAGCTTAAACAATACCTGGTGTGTTAATCGCTTGTGCACATGCCAATTTTATTTAGCTTTGTCGGTTGGTGCAGGGTTACGTCACAACAACTAGTCAAGATCATTACATGGGGAAACACAAACATCAATTATGAATCACGTGAACATTGTTCGAGGGCAATTACCTCGAGTTGGGTGAGGGCAGGCAGCGCAAACAGCTTCTGCACCCACAGCTCCAGGTTGAGGCCCAGGCAGTTGAGGAAGGACCACAGGTAGACGACGTCGCACGGGCCCAGCCACAGCGTGGCAAAGGCAAACGTCGCCACCGTGCCAAGCAGCTCCCTCAGGATGTTGTCGTGGTTGACTCCATAGCGGTCGTAGATGTATCTGGGGAAGTGCAGGATTGAGGATAAGGATTTGCGTGCAGAGAGAGGAAACTTGCTTTAATGCCTGAGCAACTCAATGTGCCGAATGTCTCATCTCAACCATTCCAATACCACACGGGCCGTGGAGGTTATTTGATCGTGCCTCAGCATAGACGTTGGAGCACAATCATCATCAACACAATCCCTGGGCAGACAGCCGTAGGTGTCCACTGCACATTTCCAAATTTGTTTCCACTTTCCTCTGTCTTGTACCAATATGCTAAGTAGTGTACATCTTTCTGGCACTAATCTCTTCTGTCATCAAGTCATCCTCTGTCAGGTCTTTCTTTTTTTCCAGTTACTTACATTTTTCCAAACACACTTTTAAAATTCCTGGTGTTGTCCATCCTACATATGTCCATCCTACATATATATATCTATCCTACATATGTGTCCAAATAGTGTCAGTTTCCTTCTCATCACTGCCTGCATCATCAGGTCGTCTTCTTCTCTGCGCAACCGTTTTCTTACATCTATGTTGCTTCCTCTTTGGGTCCAGCTTACATGCAGCAGTATCCGTCAGTCGCAATGCATTTCGAGTGCCAATACCTTCCAGTACAGTACAATGGATCTTGCTGCACTGCCCTCTGGTAACAATGCAGTCTCGCACCAGTCGACAACACCGGTTGTCTTATGCATGGCGGTCACCCCCATTGAAACTCTCAAGATTTGATGAGACCGGGCACGTTGCACATTATTCGGTCACAGGCACTTTACGTGATATGCGTCTTGTAATGGCTATGGGGCAAATGGAAAGGTGCCAATTAATTATTTCTTTCAGTCAATAACTGCTTTTTGGATGTAATTACTGCAGCTCCTTGCCAAGTTTGACTCTCACTTTGACCTCATATGGAAGATTTACAAAACTTGTGCAAAAATAGGTAATTTACTAGGCACATAAATCCTACTCCATCTGTTATCCGCAACAATAATAACAATGGTACTTACTTGCAAAGAAAGTCGTTGATTCCTCTGTCAAAATGCCTGCAACACAAATGAGAATTGTGATTAATTTAACTCTTTTAAATAAACAGTAGTGTTTAAAGGTTGCTACCCCATAAATCGCGAAGTGTAAGGAGAGTAGGTAGTCTCATAATTATGCCTCTCCTGCTGAGGGAGCAACGTTTATCGATTTGTTTTTTTTAAAGCAGCTACATGCGGTGCCCACATGCTGCGACCTGGAGCATGCCTGCGCGCGTTCCACAGCCGATCCTCCCTGACACCTCCCACACCGCTCGTCACGAGCGGCACCCGCCACTCGTGCGGGTCGAGTGACAGCGCACGTCGCTACAAGGTTGCCCCGCCATAGTTCTGCTCTGGACCTCCCCTAGGTCAACTCGGCCTCAAAACGAATTCACACCTGATGTGGCGGTGTCAACATTGCTTTTTGTGTTTAGTTTGTTGTCTTTTGCCCGCACCTCCGATCAGCACGGTTGGCTACATACATACAACATTTACTGGGGAGGAAAACGGCGGCCGAGCATAGTTCCGGCCACGCTACCCCCTCGAGTGCCACGTTGGCCCTAAAGAGGCGTTTGCGAAGAGCACTTGACCCAACAGCCTGCTTGGCCTATATGGGGATCTCTGGCTCTTGTGAATGCGTCATTTCATTTTAGTTGTATGCTGGTGAGTGTGTACGCGTGCATTTGTTTGAATGTGTGTATCCGTGTGTGAGCGTGTACAAGTATTTGCACACATGCTTGTATGTGTATAGGTGTGAGAGTGTGTACATGTATATGTGTGTGTACACGTGTGTGCAGTGACGATTATCTGACGTGGTCCTGGGCCTCCCCTAGGTCGACTTGGCCTCAAATGAGTACCTGGTGCGGTGTGTAAACATCGCCACTCGGGAGACAAGGGCGGCCGGGCGTGGTGCTGGCCACCCACCCCTTTGTGTGCCGTGCCGGCCTTCATAGGTGCTCGCTAACATCACTTGCCCCAACAGTCTGTTAAAGGCTACACGGGGGACCTTGTGTTGTTGTGTGTGTGCGTGTGTGTGCGCGGTGTATCGCACGTGTCGGCGAAGACGTAGAGCATGGTGATACACTTGGGACGCTTGGGGGGGTCGAAGTGGTCCAGGCGGGCGACGCTGCACACCACGCCGAACAGCATAGCAGCCTTCACCCAGTCGTACACCAGGTTTGCGTACGCCAGGAACGCTTTGAAGGACAGACAGAAACCCCCACCGCACACGACTCGGTCATCGGCTCACAGCAAGAGGGCGGAATTTAGCCGTCAGCACTGTGACGGGATCCATGCTCGCAATTAAACGGGGACACAGAAAAAGGAAGACGTCGATCAGGGGGAAGATGCAGGTCGTGACATCATTTTGACAATGCACAATAATAAGTGTGATTGGGCAGGGCCCATTGCTAGATGGGGTGATGGCCGATGTGCAAAACTGGTGGACAGAATGGCGGTCAAAACAGAGAAATGTGTCCATGGGGATGTACACCGAGGAGGTGAAGCGATGAGATCAATTCATGTGCAGGAGTGAGATGGACGGCAGCTACACCGGCTCACGAGGGATGGCGCCAGCATGGGGAGTTCTTCATCCACCATTGGATAGACAGCTGCTGCTGATTACTATGACAACTGTGGCGGCGTTTTGTTTCAATCGGTGCAACGGGAATCTAAATAACCCAGACGGGGCTCGTGGGTAACCCACACGCGGGGGAAGCCCGGAGTGCGTTTAATTTCAGACAGGCCTCCTTCAATGAGGAGACACTCTAATGGACTCTGTTTTGTTATGATTTAAATAATTTAAAGGAAAGCACCATTGTGTCACTGCAATTGCATTGTTATTAATAATTGCGATCCTATTTAAAGGATCGCTCCTTCTCTCCTGCTGCCCGCGTGGTCTGCAGGGAGGGGGGGAGGGAGGGGGAGGGAGGGTGCTTCACCGCCGTACCGAGGCCCCAGTCGGAGGTGTCCTCCAGCAGGGAGAGGTCGGCAGGGATGGTGACGATGTAGAGGAAGTGGAAGAGGATGTCCACGAGCAGCACGACCAGGAGGTGTCCGCACACGCCCACGTTGATCCCCCACAGCTCGTGCTCCTTGCGCGCCAGCGAAGAGTCGTTCACCTGCCCGTGGGACCCGCGTGGGATCAGTGCTCATTCCCTCTGACCGCACCAATGCACTCGCGGGCACAAACCATCGGTGGGAAGTGATACTAAAACAAGATACGATGAAACTGCAGCTCATTAATGAATGCCTCCTGTGTGCACCGTTAACCAACGCGTAATGGCCAGCGTGGCATAGAATGGTCAAAAAACACCCATGGCATGGGCCGACTTCTACACAGCAGTGGATTGACAAAGGGCTGCAGACTAATTAAACGCGTGACTGTTTACCAAGATGAGTGTTAGAGAACGGCCCATGGAAGCGAAAATCACAAACTACCTCTTAGATCCCTTCAAGTGACCTCTGGTGCACCACACGAGTGGGTAGCACGTTTCAACTCGATCTGTTATGGAGTGCTAAATTCACGGCAAACATTCAAACCTATATGATTTAATATCCATATAGAGTGCAAAACCAAATTTAAGAAGGCAAATGTACATCTGCAGTCGATGGTGACGGGGCTAAAATATTTAACTCACTGCACCCGAGTACCTGGTTTTAAATCGCAGGCGGCTGAAATCTGGATTCGAACGCAAGATCTGAGCAGTGGCACCTCTGAGCCACACGGCCGCTAAGCAGGAGGCCTCGGCGTGCGGCAGAAGTCGTGGCGCGGTCACCTGCTCGTGGAACTTGTCGTAGACCATGACGGGCCCGAAGAAGAAGAAGGGCAGGTAGAAGTTGTACTTGAGCAGGTCCAGGAAGGAGTAGCTGCCGCCCTTGTAATCACAGTTGTCGAGCGCGAAGCTCAGGCAGCGCACAATGGTGAAGGCCGAGCCGCCCGCAAAGAGGACGTCCTGCAGCTGGAAGTCGCCCGACACGAAGCCGTTCTGCGCCGCGCATTAAACACAGGGGGGTGGAGAGAGATCCAGACGTCATGGGCAAAAGCTCTCAATCATAGCCAGGGTGGATGGCGATCACGGCAGAATTAAACCAATTCATAATAAACGTTTCTGGGTTAGATCGCGTAAGTATAAATGTGTCGTTTATACTTACTCGATCTAACCTAGAAACCTTTATTATGAATAATATTGGTCGCGAAAGCCTACGTGTGAAATATAATTAAACCAATTTAAACAAAAGCCAACCGCTGAATAGAGTAATGATAAGGACCACTCTTGCTGATTGTGCATGCCGCTGCCTCTCACCCGATGTGTATAGAGGACATATTGTATAAATATTTTGACTTGACTTTCAGTACAGCAATCCCTCACCAGCCGAGTTTTTCACATCCGCGATATTTACGTATCCACGTCTTTCCTTCGGAATACCAATTTGCTAACGCGGTATGGAGTTTCGCATATCCGCGGTTGATCACGGCGACCTGCCACTTGTCATTGAGAATCTCCCACATAGCGGTGTCCGCTCCATGCATCGCCTCGTCTCCAGCCCCCGGCCACCGCTCTCCTCCCACCACCAGGGGGAGCTGGAGAGTGGGCAGAGCTCCTCGTGCCTCGAACAACCACCTACCACGTTACCTCGTCAACTTCAACCCTCAGGATGAAAGGTAAATAACGTTATTTAGTTTTTATTGATTATGCCATTTGAAATTTTATTTTGTTACTGTTAATTTTATTTGCGTTGAGTGAAGGAACAGGCAACCTGGTTAGGCCTTGACGAGTGTGACCGTGGCCACGGCTGCCCTGACCCCATGTTTCCCTGACCCCATGTTTCCCATAGGGCCTTAGAAATTGCCAACCGGGGGGGGTTCTAACTACGGCGGGTTTCAGGAGCGTAACCCCCGCGGTTGGCGAAGGATCGTTGTATTTCGGAGGTGGAACCGAGTCTTCAGGAGGGGGCTCAGGCCCCTCCAGCCACAGCGTGGGTACAGGAACTCGGCCTGGCAGCTGGAGCTGCGGGTTTCTATATTAAGCTCACGGTCACAGAGCTGATGTGTGATATGGGGCTTCCCCATTTTATTGATTTGGGGAACGATGCATCGACTCATTAATATTCATTACATACATCTAATATTGCGTGTACGAATAGGCGCGTTTTGATTAGCACGGCGTTACGTGATGGTTTCACGTCACCCCCGCGGCCCATTCACCGCAATGTCAATCAATGTATTCTTGAGTTGAACCATGATTCTGAATTGTGACGATTTCTTTAAATCACCGGGAAAGTGACATTTTCCATCATTAATATACACGATCTCACTTTTACCCTCTCGCATTAATGTTTGTTAAAATCTTGTTTACCTCAAGTGGATTAATATTCAATGCGTGTAATCCTCTTGTACAAGGCGTCACAGCTTCACGAGACCTGCATGAACAAGCTCGATCCCCAGTCCCTCCAGAAAAACGCGGAGTTTTTTGGTGATTGTTGCGGGCAAAAATCGTTGATTATGCGGCACGTTTTCTTAAAAAATGCGATGGAATATGCGGGATATTATGCAATTTTATGCGATTAAATTGCGGGAACTTGCAAAAATTGCGGGAACTTGCAAAAACTGCGGTTTGATGAAAAGAGAAAAAAAAATGATTCCCCCAACACCCTATTCACTCGGCTACTACTTTAATGTAAAGAGTAATTTCTTATTACTTCCTATGATAAGCAAGCATACTACATCACAGAAAGTGCTGGGAATATTTAAGTTCTCATCTTGTTTTATTTCAGACCTTAACAAACAGATGGCTCAAACTTACAAAACATTGAGTCGAACAAGTTCTGTAGTTTTACAAAATGAATATGCTACAACTTCTGTAAAAATGAATAAATAAAATATTAAAAAATAAAATGTGTGCTTCCTGTTTTACAGAGGTAGCTATACAAAACAGACATCTTCTGTTAAAATAAGTGTTTTCAGTGCACAGTAACGTAAGCAATACAGTAACAGTACAGTCTTACAGTAATGTAAATTTACATACTACTAACAAAAAAGTGCAATCTTACAACTGTAATGAGTGACGTCACTTCATAACGTTCCCATGGCAACAGGGGAAATGGCTGCGCTTGTGTGAAGTAAACGCAACATTTTTCAACTTTCCTGCTAAGATATATGTGACTTTTTGCAACGAAAATGCGGGGATTATGAAATCATGCAAGCCCGCATATTTTGCACGCGGAAGTCTGCAATTTATGCGGCGAAAGTGCGGCGTATTTGAAAAAACGCGCCCCCCGCATAAATATGCGGACTTTGGCTGATTTTGCGTGGAATCTTGCGATCGCATAATCGCGTTTTTCTGGAGGGACTGGATCCCCAGAGTTGCCACTGATTTATTTCTAATTGTTTATGTTCTGATTGCTATTTGATTGTTTTTGCTCTGATTGTTATATGTTTCATCGTTTTAATTTACTTTATGTTATTTGCTTTGGTGATTCTTGTGACACAGGCCAGCCTTGCAAACGAGACTTATCCTCGTCTCTTCAGTTCCCACCTGGTTCCACAAAATAATCCTAAAACGTTCAATAGCTGCCCTGTTAAATCCTGTACGTTTTCTCTAGACACTTAAAGTCCCTTTAGTCGTAGTTGCATAAAGATACCACGATACCACTCCAGACCATGCATGTGTATTTCTCCCAGTCATCCAGTCTTCCTATCCCCGAGAGCATCCTGACTCTTTTGGGCAATCCTACCCATTCGAACTGAACTATATATAAAAAAGTTTTATTTTACCAGATAAAGCCCGCTGAGCTATATAGCTATTTTTCAGAAGCGACCTGCCCACAAATTATATCCTATATAAGTGGCTCATCATGTGGACATTTATAACAGCGAAATACGTGTTGATTCTAAATGTGGATGGGAAACCGGAGGACCGGGACAACAATCCACGCGGCCGTGGAGAGAGACAGAGAGACATGCAAACTCCAGGTATACAAGCGTCAGGGTCTGGATGGAACCCACGACTGACTCCTCTATAGCGGGCGAGCCAGTAAACATCTCCCCCCCCCCTCCCCCGTGGCACCTGCCAGCTGTTGAACGGTTCGACCCTGAAGGTGGCGAGCGATGCGAGTCCGGCGAGGAAGCAGAGCCAGCGCTGCTTGGCGAGTCCCACGGAGTAGAGCAGCAGGCAGTGCGACGCCACGAGCAGCACGTACTGCAGGCCCATGGTGGCGGTGACCACCAGCACGCCGTAGGCCATGTACACCAGCGAGCGGCGCTGCGGAGCACGCGGACACCAGACGGACGGGGAACTCGATCTACGGGGCCTTTTTGGCAGCATCGAAATGATGAAACAAGAAGAATGGGTTTTGCCATTTTCGGGCAATAAAACAGGTGTTACGATGTTCAAACACCACATAAATACCTTTAGTAAGGAATTAATTCTGCATGAACCACACGCACTTGTGGTAACACTGGTGCGACAAGCCCATGAAGAAGGCTATCTCGGTGGAGGATAATCAGTTTTGAAGACAATGTCTATATTATATTATCAGAGCACGTCTGTTTGCATGTTTTGCCACAAATGTGTGTGGTTAATGCAGACTTGATGCCTTGCAATAGGTATCTATTAGGTGTTTGAACATCTCAACACCTGAACTGAACTGTTTTGTTGTCAGAAAAGGGTAAGAGCTATTCCTATTGTTTCTTCACTCTGTTGAACTTGTTTCACACCGCACGTAGCCAACCGCGCTATTGGGAGGTGCGGGGGGAGGACAACAAACTAAACACAATGAACATTAGCTCGGCACGAGGCCACCCACGTGCCATCAACGACGTTTGGCGACTTATTCGGAGCTCAATTTCAGCTGGGTCCAACCCGGAAAATTTACATTGCAGCAGATGGAAAACAGGAATTTCCCATTGGCTATTCCACTCCCAAAACTTGGCGTAGTGAGAACTGGGGCATTAAAACGAACCCTAAGCATCTTAAATGAGCTTTATAGAATCTGAATCTGTATTTATACTGGAGGAATCGGATGAGCTGTAAAGCTCTTTTTTGCACATGTTGAGTAGTTCCACACGTGACTTGCTGCCGCCCCCCAACTCCTGCCCCCCCCCCCACGCCTCGCGTGCGCCGACTGATGCAGGCGCCGGGTACCTCGGGGAAGAGGAGTGACGCGAACTTCCCGAAGAGCACGTGTCCCGACAAGGCGAGCAGAATGCAGTTCCGCCACTTGGAGAACCACATGAGCCACTCAAAGTCCGCGATGTCCTAGCGGGGGACAGGAGACGTCGTCGTCACGCAGGCGCGTCCTGGGGTGGTGACGAGGGACAGCTCCTCCACGCTCCCTCTCCCATGGCTCGCTCGTGGCCACCGCGATTGCCGGTTCACTCGTTCTCTCAAAAACGCACTCGATCACCCACCCACCACCACTCACTCATTCACTCACTCCCTTACCTCTGCACTCACGAACTTCCTCACCTATGCACTCACTCACCCATCCACCTCCCCACTCACGCATGCACCCAACGACGTCCTCACTCACTCACCCATCTACGAACTCATCTATGATTGAGTGCAATAAATGATGGTGTGAGTGGGTAGCTGAATGGATGAGCGGATGCTAAGTTAGTGAGTGAATCATCTATCCACTCACTCACACCCTGACTGATGCACTCACTTATTCACCCAACCGACCATCACTCCCATCTACCTTCCCACTCACTCATGCACCCAATCAATCCCTCACTCACCCATCTACCCACCCACCAAATAATTTCCCCAGCCAATCACCCACACACCCGCCCATACATCTACAAGCTGCTTGCCCATGCATCCAATCACTCACTCACCCACCCACCGGCGCAAGGGCACGTGGGCGTGTGGCTGTGCGGCCGTGCGATACCCACCCTCTTCCTTCCGAAGTAGGACCATCCATCCTGCAGACCTTCCTTGAAGTGTCCCCCGTGTTCTGAGACGAGACACGAATCCAGTTCGAACAATCAACAGCGTCCCTCCGCTCATTAAACCACATCCTGGCAAGCTAACAGTTTGGTCTCTGTGCTTGCAGTGCGGCTGGGATTGGTGTTCACAAAATTCACTACCCGAGGTCGACTCAGCCTTAAATGAGTATCTGGAGCGGTGTGTAAACAGCACGGGGAACTGAAAGGCGGCCGGTTGTCGTGCTGGCCAACCCACCCCCTCGTGGAACGTGCCGTCCTTCACATTCTCTCCTGGCTGATAGCACTTGCCCCAACACTCTGTGCATCTATACAGGGGATCTTGTCTTAGTCTACCTGCATAGTGTAAATACACAGGTATGTGTGTGCGCGTGTATACACGTGCTCGTGTATGCATGTACTCGTGTGTATAGGTTCACTGTGCCGGCCTTCATCGGCGTTCACTGACAGCACTTGCCCTAACAGCCTGTTACGGGCTACATGGGGGATCTTTGTCTGCGTATCGGTGTGTGCGCGCGCGCGCCTTGGTGCCGCACCCTCGGAGACGGCAGCGACCCAGCTGGCCGCCCACAGCAGCGCGGCCCCCAGCACGCCCGCGTAGGCGCACAGCTCGGCGCGCGGGAGCGCTGCAGCCATGGCGAGCTCCTCCGCGGCGCCACGGAGAGACACCCGGACGCAGACGGCGGCTCCGACGGCTCCCGGCGGGGACTCGCAGCCCCTGCGGCGCGGCCTGTGTCATCGCAACAGCATCTCGCGCTCTGCTACTGATGGAACCTCCGAGGCTACTGGACGAGAATCATCGTCGTCGTGGTCATCTCACCGTCGCGTAAAATACACCGCGAGCTGCCCCTGCGGCAGCCTGGCCCAGGGGCTGGCCCAGGGGCTGGCCCACGGGGCAGCGGTCCCCGTGTGGCACGAGGTGAACGCAGCACCCCGCCTGCAAGTGGCCATTGGCCTGCCAGTGAGTTCGCAATGCCGTTAAGTGGCCCTTTCGCAATTGAGTAATATGCGATTGATTTACATTTTTTTGCAAATTTGGAACATGTTGCCACCACACATGGACAACTTTTTTGGAATACCGTCGTGGGATATTTAAATGCCACTGTGAAGCAGACGGCGTGTCTTTTATGGCTAATAAACCGGCAGTATTAACCATGGTGGCTGTGTAGATCGAACCGCAAATCTCTGCAACGAGCAGCAAACACGTGACTGCAGGACCATGTCCTCGCCCCGTATTTGTACGGCCCTTTGCCATTCTACAACCACACAAACCAGCAGTGGAAAGTTCATGTTCATATTAGTGAGGCCAGTGCATCATAGAACAACCACATCTCACCACTCCACAAAATGCTGTTGCCAACCCACCGCTGGACGAGGACCTCTCAACGCCGCGTGATAATCGTGGGGGTTATAGAACCGTACTTCACTGCGCTGGTCAGTGCAGCTTGGTGACGGCGGGGAGTGTAGACGTGGGAGCATGGAAGTGCAGTACGACAATGGGTTTTCCCACACGGCCCTCTGCTGCCCACAGCGTAGCTGCCTAGGACAAGCCTGCCGTGTGTGGTGGTCGCCCACCCAGGCACCTTCGTGGCCCAAACCTGCTTGGCTTTTGAGATCTGATGAGATCGGCAGCGTACGTACACTGCAGCATTTAGCCAAAAGAAAGGAGGCAAGTTCTACTTACTGCTGCTCAAGAGAGATTTACAGAGCGGTCATCGCAGGTCTTAAGCTAGAGGTGCAAATTCGACATTCCCATGGCAGGGACCTTTTTACCTTGCTGATCTCGTCAAGGAACATAAACCATCACGCAAACTTCGGTCATCCTCGCAGCGGATTTTGGCTAGCCATGGAACAAAGACGAGCACCATATCATGTTATTTCAGATACGGTTCTGCGGCCATCTGGAACGCTCTTCCCTCAAAGTAGAAAGCCACTGGAGCTATACACTTTTAAATCTAGATTGAAAACCTATTTATTTACAGTCATTATTTGTGTTTAGTTTGTTGTTCTTCCCCCGCACGTCTGATGAGCACGGTTGGTTACGTATGTGTAAAAGAAGTTCAACAAACATACAGAGGGACCAGCCGATTGAGTGGACAGCCACTGTGAGCTTCCCACAAAGAGGTATATATATTTTTGACACTGAAAGTAGAAACTCTGAGTTGACCTTGTGGAAGGATTTGAACTCGCGACCTTCTGTTCGTGAGCTAGTTTCCTCTAAACACAACCAATCTCTGGCAATATGACACGATGTTTGACAAGACTATTATTATTGACTACAGGTATGCTTGTGTTTTGCAATTGTGATTTATAAAGTGTCTGCATACTAATAATGAATATTAACATTCTTCAACAACCACGGATGAAATAGTCAACTGGGAAACAAGTGGCAATGATCAGTTTTTCTAATCATCGACAGACGATAAGACGAGTGAAGTCAGGCGTTGAGGAGATGGGGCGATTTTCAGCAGAGCCATGAAAGTATTTACAGCACAGGCAAAGGGTGAGGTGTAAACACCAATACCGGTCACGTGCAACTGTACGAGATACTGCTGCTGCAGCTGCTGCCGTAGATTATTGTTTAGCACGCTGGGCTTGCAATCCAGGGGTCTCCGATTGCCGGTGCAATCCCCTGGCATGGCGCTTAGAACAAAGGTGCAGGTTTCTTAAATCCCTCCCACCTCTGTCCGCCCAGCGGTATCAATGGGTAGAGTTGGGGGAACAGTGTGGATAACTCCCGCCTCTTCCCAGACGTACTGGCCAGCGTGGAAGAGTAGGCCGAGTATCCTCGAGAGCCCCCTCTATTCGAGGCCTTTCTGCCAGCAGTGACACGAGCGCGCAATTGCAGGGCTGCGCCTTTACGTTAGAAATGCAATGCGATTGACGTCGACTCAAGGCAGGATTCTGTGGCCGAAGGGAAGAGCCGTGCAGGCCAGGTCTGGGCAACGCGCAGGCGCGCGTGAGCAAGCACCGCGCGCGTGAAGACGACGTCGGTGTGCCACATGCACCGCGCCCTGCGCGCGCACCACACAACTCCACGTGTTTGACAGGAATCGACAATTTGCCAGAACCAAAGTAGATTCAGGCTGTCAGCGGCCGAGCACGAAACGTAAACATCCGTGAAATTTGGTGTGGATTTAAATAACATAACAGAGTCAACCAAACTTTAAAGCACATTCTGTTTGCCATGATAGAAAGAACGAAGGGAAACAAAGAACATTTGTAGAACTAATTTTCAGCCCACCACTTACAATTCAAATCACGCAACGGGGCTTTTTCAAAAGCAATGTTCAGTGGTGAAGAGGTTATTCACTGAATCCCTTATAAGGGGAGTGGAGGGGGCATCTACAAAATCCACAGTGCTGCCGGGGGTGCAGCCGATGATAGCGAGACGACGATACGAGACGCATCGAGCCATCAGCTGTTTACAGACTCGCACACGCACAGCCGATCCATCAGCCACGCGAATAGCACGCGGGCGCGCTGGCACCTTCAAAGACCGGCGCGCGGACTTTGTGGATTCCGGTCACGGTCCCCAGACCCACTCAGCATTGTGTAGGTGACTCACTCCAGTCCCGTCGAACGAATGGGGTGCACGGCTCAGTGATACACGGTGCTTTTTTCTGGAAGACTTTGCTGGTTTTTCTTGGATGTTTCTGTTGCGCGTCGTCACTTTAAGATGTTTCTTGTTCATGTTTTTGTTTGTTACGGTTGCACCCGAGTCAAGAGCCGCGTGGCTCACAGGGCCGTACCTAATACATGCAACTGGATAGTCAGCGGCCTCTGGACTCTGTGGGACTGAGTACACTGGAAATAGTATTTATCCAAGTGCTAAAACAAGAACATTGTTTTAATGGAAGTGTCGATTATAATAATAACAATTGCAGCCCTTCTTCAATCCACTGCCGGATGAATGCCACCGCAGGCCGTGTCGGTCAAGGACGAGTGTTTGGCTACACGTCACCACGCTGGCGACTTGAGGGTCGTGAAGGGGACTGTCCAGAATCGGTTCACAAGTCACTCGCTGCCGATGGTAGCCGAGGCTGGGAATCCAGCTCAGGTTCACAGAGTTCATGGCGCAGCGCACTATCCACTGGACATTTTAAAACGTTAAATATAGTGAATATTGTTCGTGACGAATGTCAAACTCTCCCATAAATGAGCCACAGTTTTGAGTTCACGCCTGTTTAAGCCTCTCTGAAGAGTTACAGTCTAAGCATACGAGGATACATATCTCTACAGATATGCACAAATGTTTATAAGATGTACTGTATGCATTACTAGAATGTATGCCCATGGAGATACACAAATAGTACGGACGAATTTAGAAATGTATCCTTAGATAGGGCTGGTTCTGCGTCTGCACGTAACTTTGCTATCACAGAGCTCACGATTTACTGCCTCCACCCCTTGCAATTGCAAACCACGTGATTATACAAATTAAGTAATGCGCTGCAGTATATATCTCTACGCGTAAAGCCCCCTCCCTCATCAATCCATGGCTGGGTGAGGGTTTCCCCACATCGCGATTCGTGAGGGCGTCACGATATGGCCATACTTCACCACGCTGGTCTGTGCGGGTTGGTGAATGTGGGGGGGGGGGCATTGACGTGGGAGCATAGTACAGTACAACAATTGACCTCTGCTGTCCATAACGATCCGAAACTATTATGGCGCTTGCCTCATTATGCGGTCATCAATAATTCATCGGAAGTCATAAACAACTACCTTTCTTTTCGCCGATAGCCTGAGAGATATCCATTAACAGATGAACATGTAAAAAACATATAAACAGCAAATCAACATTAACTTCACAAGATCAACACTGGAGATGTTTTACCGCAAAGGGCAGAAATCACGCGGTGTGTTCGTTGCTGCTGTGGCACAAGGGATAAGCCCCATCGCAGAAGATAAAAAACCGACTAATCTACACCACCACGCTCTGCGGCAAATCCCTGCACGCGTCCAGAGGCGATTTAGCATCGCGCTCGCTGAACGCACGAGGAGAGCCCACGACGAGGGGGATTTTCAGCAGACAACGACCGACTCATCCCCCCCTGCACTCGAAACGTGTCGGGAATGATTTTCGGGACAACTTTGCTCGCTTTTCGTTGTCACTGCGGCATCGGCTCCTCCTATAAATACCCCGGCGGCGTGCGGCGTGCAGGACGCCCTCGTCTGACTCTGCCCGCAGCGGTCAAATCAGCGGCGGGCAGAGTCCCGCGACGCGTGCCGATGTGGCCTGAGGCGGCGGCGATGGAGGATGATCGCGACTCTCGGACGGGTTTCCGTCCGACGTCTGCTGGTGCAGTTGGTAGGGAGAGGAGGGGAGAGGCAATTGCTGTAAATTACTCACCGGGAAGATGCAAGCTTGCGAGTACACGCACGCGCAGAATCAAATTTTATCGTCGAGCGATTCGGCGATGTCGCTGCGAGCGGTGCATCCTCCTCCCCTCGCCCTGCCGCTGAGGGTGCCCGCGGAGTATTTTTGCCGGGACATTTTCCCAAACAGTGCCCACCCGCAGCTCCCCACCATTCACATCGCGCCCTCCTCGCCGCCCCCACCCGCGGCTCCCTCACCCCCCGCCACTCGCGCAGTGATGGACACGAACAGATGCAACACCTTGATATAGCCCCGGCTGGGGGGTGATGAGAGAGAGAGAGACGGAGCCCCTCCTGCCCCTCCTGCCCTGCTGCTGCCCCTCCTGCTGCCCCTGCTGCCCATCCTGCCCCTCCTGCCCCTCCTGCCCCTGCTGCCCCCGCTGCCCTCGCTGCCCCTCCTGCCCCTCCTGCCCCTGCTGCCTCTTCTGCCCCCGCTGCCCCTGCTGCCCCTCCTGCCCCTGCTGCCCCCGCTGCTCCTGCTGCCCCCGCTGCCCTTGCTGCCCCTCCTGCTCCTGCTGCCTCCCTCCTGCCCCTCCTGCCCCTGCTGCCCCTCTTGCCCCTGCTGCCCCCGCTGCCCCTCCTGCTCCTGCTGCTCCTGCTGCCGCTCGTTGGGCACAGATCACGGCACCTCGACGGCGCTCGCCGTGATCTGTGTCGGTGCCACCCGCGGGCCGATCGAGGATTGTGCGTTGGGTGCGTGAGGCGCGGCGGCTTCGTGATGTTCTCATCCGGACCGAAGGAAACGCCTCCACGGAATGTCAACAAGAGGGGCTCGTTCGCAAACTACTACGTGACCAAAGATGCACACAATCAGAATATTGATGTATACTGGAGGAATCCTATGAGCTCTACAGCACTTTTTTACAGATGTCCACCCTTACGGCCACGCGTTAAGTATTCAGTGCTCCCTATATGTCAATCGTGTAAAGTACCCCGACACGGGAAAGTCTTGAGCACACACAGTCCTCGATAAACTCAATCCGACAAAACCCCGCCGAGTGTTTTCTGGGGTCTAAAACAACGCAGGCGTCGAGGCGGAGTGGACGCGGCGTGAGAAGCGGGGCCCACCGGGGCCCTGCCGAGGGGCTCGCTCGCCCTGCCGAGCGAGCGACGCAGCAGACGCCCATCGCGGGTGGCGCGCTGCCCACGTGGGAGAGACACCGCGCGCGTTGGCGCACACGCGGCGCAGCTCCGAATCGCGAGTTCCGTCAAGACTCGAGGTCACGCTCAGACCTTGCGTCGAGGCGGCCGCGATGCGTCTCATGAGAAGACGCCCCTAGCGAGTTGTTGAAGGCGACACGTCAAGTGCAGGCGGGACGCCGGCCGAGGCTTCAGTCGTGGAGCCGTGACCGCACCTGGAGGCTGCCGAGCAGCCCTCCTCACACCTGAGCTCGCGGTGCCGTCACGCCAGGAGACGCGGCAGCACCACGAGCTGCGTGACCCCCTCGACCCCCTCCACCTCGACCCCCTCCACCTCGACCCCCTCCACCTCGACCCCCTCCACCTCGACCCCCTCCACCTCGACCCCCTCCACCTCGTTCCCCTCCACCTCGAACCCCTCCACCTCGACCCCCACCACCTCGACCCCCACCTCGTCCTCGCAGCGGCGCCGTGTTTCGAGCACAGCAGAGTTCAAAGTCAAATTGTAAACGCCACCCCCCATGTTGTGTCAACGTCGTCGTTGACTTCCCAGTCACTTCCTCGTCCCACTTAAAAACAAAATCGCTGCGTTCAAGCCGTCATCGTTCAAGGACTCGATCTGTGCCGAGCTCAATCAACTTCCACTGTAGGAGTCAAAGATGATCCTCTTCGCCTTCCATTGCGCGACTTTCGAGCGCCACCCACGACCCCTCCTCCCAGGTTCATCTAACCTGCTTCAGAACGAGTCGTGATCTTTGCCGACGGCTGCTCTTGAGTGTGCACCCAACAACTGCGGTTACACAGTGATGACTCAGTTGTTCGGTGCTGCACTGTGATTGGCATTTCACAACCAAAGAATTCTGAACCAACCCAGAGTAATATCCCACCACTCATGTACGGGGCGTTGATTCTTCACCTGACTAAGGAATGTTAGCATTGCGGTTATGTAAGAGGTTGTGTTTTGTTAAGAATTGACTATTTACATTTACATGTGATATGAATCAAACATGTAACATCTATGTTCAGTGCAACAGGACTGTATGGTTGTTCGTGAGAGTTTGTCGCTGGAATTGAAATGTCCTCACGTGCTGAGTGCCGGCATCAGGAATATCTCCCCAGGGCAACATTATGTAACACAATGTGGATGTATAACGGCTTTGTTTAAACGCGACCGCATCCCAGGACGCCGTACAGAAACAGCGTGGATATTTAGTTTATAGAGAGGCAGTCAGTCATTGGCAAAGGCAAATAATGGCCTTGAGCTTGACCTTGACAGGGGGAATCGAGAACACAGGGGGCTGAGGGAAAGCAGCTCCAGACCATGGGGGCAGCAGAAGGATTTCGACTGAAAGCCTTGGTAGCGGGACAGAGAGAGCGCGTGGGGGGAGAGGCAGGAGTGTGCGTGGAGGGGAGTTGAGTGACATGAGGGGAGAGGTAGGAGAGTGTGGAGAGGAGTAGAGTGAGATGAGAGGGGAGAGGTAGGAGAGTGCGTGGAGGGGAGTAGAGTGAGATGAGAGGGGAGAGGTAGGAGAGTGTGGAGATGAGTTGAGTGAGATGAGAGGGGAGAGGCAGGAGAGTTTGTGGAGGGGAGTAGAGTGAGATGAGAGGGGAGAGGTAGAAGAGTGCGTGGAGGGGAGTAGAGTGAGATGAGAGGGGAGAGGTAGGAGAGTGTGGAGAGGAGTTGAGTGAGATGAGAGGGGAGAGGCAGGAGAGTTTGTGGAGGGGAGTAGAGTGAGATGAGAGGGGAGAGGTAGAAGAGTGCGTGGAGGGGAGTAGAGTGAGATGAGAGGGGAGAGGTAGGAGAGTGTGGAGATGAGTTGAGTGAGATGAGAGGGGAGAGGCAGGAGAGTGTGGAGATGAGTTGAGCGAGATGATGAAATCCCGGTAATGGTTCAGAACACTCATGCACAAGAAATGCGCAATGCACGGCGCTCGTTAAACAACGGGGGACGCTTTAAGAAATGTCCCACGGTCGACCGCTCGACTCACGGATGAGCTGGGGGGGGGGGGGGGGGTGGTCTCGCACGGCTCCCAGACGCGTTCTCGTGCCGCGCGTGTTGTTTGTAAAGTACATTGAACTTCTTTCACACCGTACGTAGACAACCGCGCTTATCGGAGGTGCGGGGGAACGACAAAAAACTAAGCACAGAAATGAATCCTACGAGATGAGTTTGTCAATGTCAATGTAAAAGTGCACAGCTCCAGTGGCGTCCTAATATCGGAAGGAAGAACGTTCCAGACAGCCGCAGAAGCAGCGCATCTGAAAGCGAGCGATGCGGTGACCGTCTTTGGTCGATTGGTCGATGGTCAGCCAAAAGGCGTTCCGAGGGTGACCGGAGTTCCCTGATGGTTGATGCTCCTTGACCAGACCAGCAAGATATTGTGCTAGAAAGCACTGTGTAATAAGTGCGACCTTATAATCTATTCGTTTGGCAACCGGCACTATCTATAACAGAGGTTTTTGGGTTAGATCGCGTAAATTATTTAACTAACCGGCACTATGTCCGACGTTCCGCTCCACGTGCTGTGGGAGCTTCTTCGGGAACGCAATCGAGCGGCTCACTTTCTCCCTTCAACCGATCAACGGAATTCCGGCACGCGGAGCGAAACGTCGGGGGCATCGCGGGGAACGCGCGCGCGCCACGAGCCGACACCCCACAGAGGGCGGGGCGAGGAGGACCGCGCAGTGAGGCCGACCCCGCGGTCTCGCCTCCAGCCACGCGACCAGCGACCCTCATGCCACCCCCGCTGTGCAGTGCCGTCTGGTAGCAGGGGAGTTGACTTATAAAAGCCAGGCCAGAGGCAGCGGCCGTGCGGCCGTGCTATTTAAATTCTGGCTCCGTGTCCATGCCCCCCCCCACCATCGCCGCCGCTGGGTTAATGCGTTATATTTAGCGCTGGTTGAGCATTTATGGCAATGAGAAGACAGTAGAGCCCCCCCCCCCCCCCGTCTCAACCGGCGGGCCGAGCGTAAGGCACAGGACCCGGACGCGTGATGGGAAGCCGACTTAGTGCTTCAGCTCGCTCATTTACGCCTGGGGAGATTCACCTCCCTCCTACGCTGTGGAAAGACACAACGAGTCGGTGAAACACGATAACTCACACGGCGAAGCGTGATTCGACGAGTCAAGGACCCAGCAAAGTCATTTATAAGTGGAAATTGAGGTTGGAAAAACTAATTTGTAGCTTTGAGTAGACAGGTAAAGGTGCAGCCCTGCAATGACTTGGCTCACGCCGCTGCTGCTGGAACGGCCTCCACCAGCGGGAGATGCCGAGAGCCCTTCCAGAAGCTATTTAGGCATCGTCTACCATGCTGGACAGATGTCTTGGAAGAGGTGGCAGAACCCCCACGATTTTCACCCGACCACAATTCTACAGAGAGCGGGGAGAGTAAAGCAACTCGCCCGTCGCCTCGCCTCGTGGCTTGCCTGCTGGCCGCCGCAGTGCCAGCGTCTCGGACTCTTTAGCACAACACCCACCGCTACAGCATCATGAGGGATCGCAATGAAATACGATGGAGATGTTAAGTGTGACAATTTGTAAACACTCTACAATATGGCATTATCTACATTTTTTAACAAACCATACAGCTCACGTTGACTTTTGAAAGCAGCTGCAGAGGGAAGGGTAGAGCGACTATTGCTTTGCCTGCGACCAAACCGGCCTGAATGAGCCCAACTGTGAGGTCTCCTGGTCAGTACTGGAAGAGTGTCCACACGCAGGGCTTGCAAGGTGTTGTAGGAACTCACACACGCCAAGGAACTCATTAATGGAATTGACCAAAACCCTTGTGATTTTTAAACAAATGCTGTATTGCGTTGTGATCACAGTGGTTACCACAAATGATTTCGTCAAGGAGCATAAACCATCACGCGAACTGCGGTCATCCTCGCAGCGGACTTGGCGATCTATCAAACAAAGACGGTGGTCTATGCATCACGCGCTTTCAGATGGGCTTCCGCAGCCGTCTGGAACGCTCTTCCTTCCGATATCAGGAAGCCACTGGAGCTATGATGCACTTT